GGCTTCAAGTGTGGGAGCATGGTAGACAAGCACTCTGTCAACACCTGCCCACCTGAACCCCAGACTTCAAGTGTGGGAGCATGGTAGACCAGCATCTTATCAATGGAGCAATAAGGTAGGCCCTCAATAAACATTCTTATTCTCAAAGAGAAAAATTTAATTTTATAGTTTTCTTTGGGAGGGGGGGGTGGTAGTGGTTTTGAGACAGGGTTTCTCTGTGTAGCCCTGGCTGTCCTGGAACTCACTCTGTAGACCAGGCTGGCCTCACACTCAGAGATCTGCCTGCCTCTGCCTCCCAAGTGCATGCACTACCACCTGGCTTTGTGTGTGTGTGTGTGTGTGTGTGTGTGTGTGTGTGTGTGTGTGTGTGTTTAATAATTTGTTTTTATGTTCAGTGGTGTTTTGCCTGCCTATATGTCTGTGTGAGTGTGCCAAAAGATCTGGAACTGAAGTAACAGACAGTTGTGAACTGCCATGCAGGTGCTGGGAATTGAACCCGGTTCCTCTGGAAGAACAACCAGTGCTCCTAACCACTGAGCTGTCTCTCCAGCCCCTATAGTTTTGTTTTGTTTTGTTTTTTTATCTACTTTATGTAGAGGCTGAAGAGATGTCTCAGAGACTAAGGGTATGCTGCTCTTCTAGAGGACCTGAATTTGAGTCCCAGCACTGAAGTCAGAAGCGCGCACACACACACACACACACACACACACACACACACACACACACACACAAATAAATAAATAAATAAATAAGTATAAATCTTACAAAACAAAACCCCAGCACTGAGGAGGAAGAGGCAAGTGGATCTCTGTGAACTCAAGGTCAGATTGGTCTATTCAGAGAGTTCTAGGCCAGGCAAGGGTACATAGTAAGATCTTGTCTCTAATATATACATATTTATACATAGTTTTATACATAACATATATATATATGATATATGTTTAAAATTTCTTCTTCATGATTCATCTTTTGAGAGATCTCTAACATTTTAACTATGAACAGAAATCCCCATGAACAGCTTCTCTGTGTTGAAGGTGTTACAAGGCTGATTGATTAAAGTTTTAGTGATTATGGTAATCTGGAATGTAAGGGATGAGTCAGATTACCTTGGGCCATCTATTCTCCCTCCTGACTAATAGTTAATTGACCACCTTTGTGTTCAACATAGCATCCATCCATCCTTGTGACTATCTGGCGTGCGGTTATGTGTGCATACACATACACACGTAGCTATGCATATCTGACTTAAACGTGTCAGTTCAGAACGCGCCATTGGGAAATGGAAAGAGCAAACTTGACATTCATCTACCAGGTGTATTATCAGAGCCTTGATTCCCAGAGATAGGGATGTGCCCCGTGAAGAATAAAGCTAAAGCTTTGAAATGTCTCTATTTCATCCGGTTCTATGTTTATTGTTTTGTGCTATCACTATTACTCCCCATTTGAAAGAGCTGGGCACCACAAACCTGGTCCCAGCCCGAACAATTTTCTGTGCTTTTGGCCCTAGAAGGCCTTTGTGCCTGCTCAATGTCTCCTCCTCTCTTTAATCATTCTCCTGTATCATTTTAGCCCCTCCCCTTTTCTGTGTTCAGACTTACCCGGCAGTTAGCTAATGCACTAATAATTATATAGCTGGGTGAACACACACACACACACACACACACACACACACACACACACACACACAAGTTCTATTAGGAGATAAATTTAGAGGTCGGAAACTGCGTGTTCCAGGACGGCAGCACTTATCCCAATGATTCAGACATAGCTATTTCCGGTTTGTGTGGAGCCCTGATAGTGAAAACAGAGCTAGGAAGAATATTTGATTCAATAATGCTAGGGTTATGGGTGGATTCAAGAGCACTATTAAGAGGAGGAAAGTATTTTCATGTGTGATGTTGGACTAGGTTGCCTTAGGAGGAAATGAAATACTCTGGAAAGGTGAGCTTGTCCTTGGGTGAGTCAGGAGCCTGGTGACAGCTATGGAGGGCAAAGCATGTCTGGAAGCAGCGTGGTATCACTGTCCTCCTCCAGCAGTGGGGTCCAAGGCCTGAAGCAGCATGGTATCACTGTCCTCCTGCTCCTCCAGCAGTGGGGTCCAAGGCCTGAAGCAGCATGATGTCACTCTCCTCCTCCTCCAACAGTGAGGTCCAAGGTCACTCTGTTCATCCCCAGGACAGAGCAAATGGTGAAGAAGCCTGAAGTGGTAGGCATCTAAAGAGTATAGGAGGGCTGGCCAGATGGCTCAGCGGTGAAGGCACTTGCCTTGCAAACCTAGTGACTTGAGTTCAAGCTCCCAGGGCTCACACAACACTGGAAGGCAAGAACCACCTTGATATATGCACCCATAGACACACTAACAAGTAAACGGCAAGACCAGCTCTACAAAGCTGGGTCTTGAACTCGATATATGCACCCATAGACGCACTAATAAATAAAAATTTAAAAATAATAGTGTAAAGATTGCAGGATACTTGGGGAAACAAAGATCAAGTCCCCACCTGTGGGAAAGGGTATTTCCAAGGTAGGGATTAGGAAAAGCCTCACCAGGAGGAGGATTAAAGAAGGGTAGGAAATAGAATTCAGGTAACAAGTAGTTCCCATTCAGAATGTCGTTTGAAAAATTAAACTGTAAGGCCAGCCCCAGCAATGCTAAGTTATATGAGGAAAAGAACCAATTAGATGAAAGTTCTGTGTCCAGTCCCATTACTGAGTGGTTTAAAGTTGCTTATCTGATATTTCAATAAAGGTACCGTCAAAACCTCTGTAGTCAACTGAACCACCGTCATCCTCAAAGATGCTAAGAACTTGGGTTACTGTTATGGCTTGTTTTATTTATCAACTTGTCGCAATCTAGAATCACTGGAGAAGAGAATCTTAATCAGGAATTGTCTAGATCAGGTTGTCCTGTGAGCGAATCTGTAGGGAATTGCCTTGATTATTAGTTGATGTGGCATGATTAAGCCTGAAAGTGAGCAGCACCATTCCTTGGTTTTAGACACTGGACTACTTAAGAGTCAAGAAAGCTAGTTGAGCACTAAAGATGTATGCATTCATTTTTCTCTGCTCTTGACTGTGGATGTGATTTTGTTATAGGGAGCTGTCTTAGGGTTTCTATTGCTGTGAAGAGGCACCTTGACCATGGCAACTCTTACAAAGGAAAACATCTAATTGGGGTGGTTCACTTACAGTTCGGGGTTTAGTCCATTATCATCATGGTGGGAAGCAAGGCAGCATGCAGGCAGACATGGTGCTGGAGAAGGAGCTGAGAGTTCTTACGTCTTGACTCACAGGCAACAGGAAATGGTCTGAGACAGTGAGCATGGCTTGAGCATATATGAGACCTCAAAGCTCACCTCCACAGGGGCACACTTCCTCAACAAGGCCATACCTACTCCAAAAAAGCCACACCTCCTAATAGTGCTACTCCCTTTGGGGGCCACTTTCTTTCAAACCACCATGGGAGCCCGCCAAAGATGACCACTCAGACGCAGTGCATAGCTAATTGAAAGTCTTTATTCCAGCTGGCTGGGACCAGACCCAAGTGTTCAGGGACCAAGGTGTGGCCTCAGGTATCCAGAACACAGGTTTTTAAGAGCAGAGACCTCATTCGGGCATTTCCCTTGGCAGCTGCAGTCAGGGCTTCGCAGAGTATGCAGTTGGAAGCAAGAAGTTAGCTGGTGGTTAGCTAGCCTAGTGGTTAGCTAGCCGAGGAGGTTCCGCACAAACAGGCAGCTAAGGTGAATGGTTAGCTGGAGGAGGGTCCACACAAACAAACAGTTTAAACAAAGGCTAAGATAAGTTAGCTAGGACATCCTGACCTTTGGTCCCTAGAATTGAGTTGGGTAGTTTTCCATGGGATTCTCCATCAAGATTAGATTCGAGTTCAATGGAAGCGGCCTCAGCAGGAGCACTAGATGGAAGAACCCCTCTGCACTGTCTTGCCCCGTCACATTGTGACTAGCTGCTTCAGGTTCTTGCCTTGATTTCCCTGGAATGCTGAGCTGTAGCCTGGACAAAATAAGCACTTTCTCCCCGAATTTGTGTTTTGTCAGAGCATTTTTATCATGGCAGCAAAAATAAAATGGGGTCATATGGGACAGGAGTCTCTGTAGATGTGATTAGATATACCGCCCTGGACTATCCACATGGGTGTTACATGCATCCGCATACATCCACACGAGAAGCAGAAGGAGATGACACACAGAGAGAAAGTAATGTTCAGACAGAAGACATGGGCCTCGAAGACAGACATGGTATAGCCACAACCCAAGGAAAACTGACCATCACCTGAGCTGAAATCGGCAAGAACCGATTCTCCCTTACAGCCCGGACAAGGGTCCTTTCGTCACCTTGACCTTGGCTCAGTGAGACTGGTGGACTGTGACAGTAAGCCTGGACTTCTGTGCTTCAGAAGGAGTTGACACCACCAGGTGCGCAGTCATTGCTAGACCAGCCATAGGAAGGGCTATGACCTCTGTTAGATTCCAGATGTGCTGGACCTGGCTACGATAGTCAGTGGAGAGGATTACCTATGGGTGAGTATGGTAGAAAGACTCTGTGCCAGTGCCTTCCTTACTTGGAGGGACAATATTCATTTGCTAGGACTGCCATGAAGATGACTTGCAGTTTTGGGGGAGGGTGTTAAAACATAAATTTAGAGGTCAAGGAAATGGCTCAATAGGGAAACATGCTTGCCTCCAAGCCCAACTGCCTGAGTCTGAGTCTTGCAACCTACATGGTAGGAGAGGACACCTGTAAGTAGTTCTTTGACACGCCCTGCCCCCCCCCACTCAAGCCATTGATGAGACTAGGAGATAAAAATTGGCTAAGGTGCTGGGCGGTGGTGGCACATGCTTTTGACAGCTTTTCCTTGCCAGAAGCTAGAGATGACTGAAGTTTGTAAGTCACAACATCTTTGGTTCTGCTCTAGCCACAGGCCAGAGATGCCAGGAAGGGGAGTCTGGTTCTTCATTGTCTTCTCTTCTTTTCTTCTAAAGGAGGACCCATTTCCTGAAAACTATTCACAAGGACATGGTTAAAACTGAGAGGCACCAACACCTGGAATAAAAACTGGACTAACCAGCACCTTAAACTGGTCCATGCCTCCATCCAATAATGTCTTAGTCACTCAAAGGTAGTGGCCTTCAATGGGGTTACCACTCCCAGGGACTCCTCCTGCTGTATCAAGGCTCTGTCTTCTCTCCCTCTCTGTCTCTGTCTCTGTCTCTGTGTCTGTTTGTCTGTCTGTCTGTCTGTCTGTCTGTCTGTCTGTCTCTCTCTCTCTCTCTCTCTCAAGCTCCCTATAAAAAAATACTTCTTTCCAAAACTGGCTATGGTCCATGAATTTCATTCTTTGAGTTGAAGAGACAAGAACCCAAAGGCCATCAACTCATTGTAGGTTATTTGTCTATGAGCACCCAGCACCCTCAATTCTCAGTTAAAAGCCCACCCAAAATCTGAGAAAAGCTTTGTCAGTCTCAGAATCATCCCAATATTCTCCCCCTCCTCCACAAATAAATATATCAAAACAACAACAACAGCAACATACATTTATTCTCTCACAATTTTGAAGAGTCCAAAATGAGAAAATTGCCACCAGGTTGGCTCTCCCATGGAGGTCCCAAGAGAATACATTTGAGGCCAGTCTCCAAAGAATCCATTGGTTCCATGTACTCCCTAACCTGGATTGCTCCAGTCTGTGTCTTCATTCTCACATGAGCTTCCCATTGCCTTTCCTGTGTCTTTTTTCCCTCCATGTCCCTTATAAAGAAAAGTTCCTATTTTTATGTATTTTTTAAAAGTATGTGTATTTAGGGGAGGGGAAAGTATGTCCCTGTGGAGGCCAGAAGTTGTAGCTGGATTCTTTGTAGCAGTACTTTTTTGTTGGGACCGCCAGCTCACAGATAATGACACAGAGACTTATTCTTAATTATGAAAGCTCGGCCTATAGCTTAGGCTTGTCCCAGTAACTCTTATAACTTAAATTAACCCATTTATATTAATATATGTTTTACCATGTGGCGTTTTACCTTTCTCTCATTCTGTATTTCCAACTCCCTGTGTCTCAAGGGTGTCTCCTCATGCCTAGATTCCTTCTCCTCTTCATCTCTTCCTGGAAATCCCACCTAGCTCTACTGACTAGCTATTGGCCATTCAGCTCTCTATTAAACCAAACCCAGTGACACATCTTCACACAGTGAACAAATATCCCACGACAAACCCTCCCACGACAAACACTCCCATGACAAACCCTCGAGCTGAGGCTGAAGTCACAGACAGTTGACAGCCACCTTCTGTGGGTGCTGGGAGCAGAACGTGGTATAAGAGCAGGATACGCTTTGAACACCAGCCCTATCTCCAGCCCTCCTGCCCCGCCCCTTTTTAAGGACAGGGTCTCACTTTAGCTCTGGTTGGCCTAGAACTCAATATGTAGACCAAGCTGGTCTTGAATTCACAGAGAACTGCCTTCCTCTTCCTCCAGAATGTTAGGATGGTCAGTGTGTGTCACTGTGCCCAGCCCTATTTACCAATAAAGTGACATTCATAGGCCCCTTTTGGAGGATCCTATTCAACTCATTATGGGAACCGACTCCTCATTTGCCCTTTCCACAGGAGGAAGATAGAAAATTCCAGCAGTCATCTATATCTATGTAGCTTCATGAAGACCCAAGCAAGTTTTGGCCACCTGCCTGCCTCCAGGGAGTAAATCAGTGATGACATCAGACCTCCTAGAAACCTCAGAACATCTGATCCAGCCCACTTCCCACCACACCCCCAGCCTCCTGGTGAGCTCAGATTCTGAAAGATGCTGTTTCATTTACAATCAGCTATACATCTATCCTTTACTAAATCACGCCGTCCCTTTGTAAGAAAATACTGCATGCAGCATGCCACCACCAGACACAGAAACCAGGAAGTCATCCTTTATCTCTGAAAGATTTACAGGAACATGGCCAGGGATGGAGGGATGACACAGCAATAAAAAGGGCTTGCTCCTCCCACACTGTGTGGCTTGCAACCCGCTGGAACTCCAGCTCCAGGAGACCCAGCACATCTGGCTTCCTCGGGCACCTGGACACATTTGTACATGTACACAAACACACACAGGGGACGGGGGACGGGGGAGGACTCATACATAATTTATTTTTTTTTAAAAAGAAAACATTGCAGTTCCAATGCTTAGCTTCCTGTACTGTTATTAAATGATAATTCTGCCTCATAAAGGGAAATTTCTCAACAGTGAGCCTATTTACATGGCCAGGCAGCTATTAAGATGGCTGAGAACACTGTATAGAAGGTCCTGTGCACCAGAGGAAACGCAATCACCCCACAGTTGGGGACACACGCTGTAATTCTAAAGCTCTGTGTGTTATCTTTCTGTGCTGATGAATTCTCCCAAGAGCTCTCCTCCTGGGACCTCAGCCAGCAATTTCCATTTCCATGTGTATGAGAGAGTGAGACCGAGGGGGTGAGCTATTCCTGGGGGGCCTGTGCTAGACACCTTACATTTGCATAATCCACAGCACAGGTCTGACATTTTTGTGAATGTGCTGTACTGCCTCACCCCCCAGGAGCCAGCAACACTCCACTGGATCCTGGCCCAGTTCACTCCCTTATCAATGCCTTAGGGGTGTCAGGTAAAAAGCACTGTAAAAACCAGGTGGCTTAGGACAATAGGAACCTGTTCTTTCACCTTTCACAGTCCCCCTCCTCTCTCTCTTTGGTGGCTTCTCACAATCTGCTTCTGCCCCCTGACTGGCAGGTTTCTCACACCAGCCTTTGTTGTCCCGTGGCCTTTTCTCGTTGTCTTTTTTTGTTTGTTTGTTTTTGTTTTTTGTTTTCTCTTGTGTATAAGTGTTGCCCATACATGCATCACATGTGTGCTTGGTGCCTACCAAGGCCATCAGATCCTTGGGAACTGAAATTACACAGTTGTGAGCCACCATGTGGGTGCTGGGAACCAAACCCAGGCCCTTCTGTAAGAGCAGCCTGTGCTCCTAACTGCTAAGGCATCTCTCCGACCCTCTCACTGTCTGCTGACACAGATACTAGCCGTCCAATGGAGTGTCCCTTTCATTCTGCAAAAAGCCTATTTCTAAGTACGGTCACAGTCAGCTGTCCCTGGTTGACACAGTGGGGCGGACCCGCGGTGGGGCGGACCCGCGGTGGGGCGGACCCGCAAACGCAGAGCACTTCTCCAAGGGAGTTTTTCAACTTCTGTTTTAGATGGCTTTATTTTCTTTCACTTCCCTTACCCTTTGTAAAATTTGTTCATCTATTCATTATTTATTGATTTGAGACAGGATCACACTGTGTAGCTCTGGCTGGCCTAAAGTTTGCTATGTAGATCAGGCTGGCTTTGAACCCAAGGGGTCCTCCTGATAATGGCCCTAGAGGGCTGGGATTGAGGGTGTGCATCACCATGCATGGCTTTCTTACACCCTTTCAAATAAGTGAATGAGCTGTATTATTAATTATGTACATCATGAGTGATATGAGGGGATGGTCAAGCACATGCCATGTCGTACCGAGGCCAGAGAATGGCTTTAGGGAGTAGTTCCTTTCACTGTGGCTCTGGAAATCAAACTCAGCTACTAAGGCTGGCACAGCACTTTCACCTGCTAAGTTATCTCTTTGTATCCCTCCCTCCCCCTCCCCCGCCCCCTTTTTTTAAAAGACAAGGAAGATCTCATATAGCACAGGCTGGCTTCAAACTCACTATGTAACCAGAGGCTAGCCTTGAATTCACGATAATCCTGCTTCTCCCTCCCAACTGCTAGGATTACAGGGTGTGCCAGCATGCCTGGCTTATTATGGCTCCTTCTACAAACCTGTTTATTCCCAAGGTTTGTAGAGCATTTGTGAAGAGTAGAGCATCAGCACTCAGGGAGCAGAGTGTGTTGCAACCAAATTACCGGTATGTGAACACTTGCAACCTCCTCCCTCTGTCCCTACTGACGTGAATGGGCTCCTGTTATCTGCATCTCTCCTGTAAGTTGTCTTCCAACGGGCTTCCTTCTCCTTTAGCCAGCCTGCATCTGAGGACTCACTCAGATCTCTCAAAGCTCTACTCAGATGTCCAGACCAACAACTCTGCCCCTCTCCTGCCCTTCAAGCTGATCTCCAGGTGGCTGGGACCCCACTTCGTTAGCCTGCTGGCACTTCCATCACAAAGTACCACAGGCTGGGAGGCTGGGAGGCTGAGACAACAAAAATTCACTCCCTGGAAGTTCAGAAGCCCGGAAGGTCAAGATCAAGTTGTCTGTAGGGTTGATCTCTTTGGAGTCCACCCTCTCCAGCTTATAGCTGGGCCTTTCCCACTGTGGTCTCACCTGTTATGTGGGTCTTCATCTCCTATGCTTACAAGGACACGAATCATGTGGAATCAGGGTCCATCCCACTGACCTCATTTCATTTCAGCTAGCCTTTTCTGAGTCCCATCTCCAAATGCAGGCCCTTCAACAAGCAGATTTCAATAGTACACAATTCCCACGACCCCACCGTCAGCTCACCGCCAGCTTGCCTAATCTTTGCTTCTTCCCCATCAGCCCTGACTCATCCTTGTAGTTAGGGACAGCTAATCCTCCTTGTCCCTATGACTGAATTTGGAATTGCCTCTCAGACACCCTTCTGGATGTGCCTGTGACAGTGTTTCTGAAGAGGGGTAACTGAAGGGGGAAGACCCGCCTTGGATTTTGATGCCATGCCGTAGCCGAGGGTCCCAGACTCAGTAAGAAGGGAGGAGAGAAGGAAATCAGTAGCATTTGCTATCATGCATTGCTCTCTGCTTCCTGACTGTGGACTCCACGTAGCCAGCCAAGTCCTGCTCCTACAACAATACCTTCCCTGTTAGGAAGGATTATACCCCAACCGTGAGCCGGAATGAGCTCCTCTTTCCTTAACTTGCATTGACAAGTGCTTCCTCCCAACAATGGAAGAAGGAACTCATACAAAGCCCATTTAAACGGCCCCAGGAACTGTGATTCCTGTCTCCATACACAATAGGAAACATTTAAAGTCATATAGATACAGAGAAGCCAGCTACTTGCCAAAATGAATCCATGATTGATATACTGTATAGCGTTGTTGGACAGATGAGAATATTGTCTCAGAGACATCATGCAAATATTAAGTAAACAAATAGAAAAACATGGCTAAGAAACTGACTTAATTTCATAACCCTTTAGCACAAGATAAAGACTCTGAATGAGTGAGAAGAATCATGAGGTTTTTAAAATTCATAACCAACATCAATTGTGAGACCGTATTGCTCTTTTATTATTGTTTGATTGTGTTGCTTTTACTTTTGTTTTGAGACAGGGTCTCACTCTGAAGCCCTGTCTGGCCTCAAATTTAAAAAGCTCCTGTTTTAGGCTCCCCAGTGTTGGTATTAGTACAGGCATGCACCACTTGACAGCATAATTGTCACTTTAAAATGAGAAAAGAGCCTGGTGGTGGTGGTGCACACCCAGCACTTGGGAGGCAGAGGCAGGCAGAGCAGAGGCAGGTGAATCTCTGTGAGTTTGAGGCCAGCCTGGAATACAAAGCAAGTTCCAGGACAGACTCCAAAGCTACACAGAGAGACCCTGTCTCAGAAAAAAAAAAAAGAAAGAAAGAAAGAAAAAGAAAAATGAGAAAAGATGGGCTGGTGTATAGCTCTGTTAGCAGAATGTAGCTTAACATTCACAAAGCTCTAGATTCCATCTCTAGCACCAGATAAACTAGAAATGGTAGCACATGCCTAAAATCTCAGCACTCGGGAGGCGGGAAGATCAGAAGTTCAAAGTTATCCTTGACTACATAGAAACTTAAAGACCAACCTGATGTGCCTAAATGAAACCCAGAAACTCCAGAAAAAAAAAATAATGCAAAACAAATTAAACAAAATGTAAGACAAAAGGTTGTATACACACACACACACACACATACACTTAAAAAAATCAGACTATTCCTATTTTTCTTTATGACATGAAGAAAAAAAATATGTACACTATTCCATTAAAGGGTTAACACTGAGCCCAGAAAGCAAGCATAGAAGCATCTCTAGCACCATGACAAATGAATCCTCTTTCAACCAGTGAAATAAGAGCTTTGTTGAGTCAGAAAGTAGGAGGCCACAGAAGGTCTGGTTAATGATGGTGCCATTAAGCTGTGGCTTTCTTTTTCAGGTCACCAGCCTATTGTCAGTTCTAGGTTCTATGTGACTCATAATCGTGGTGGGAGGTGTAAAAACACACAGGCCACAGGGTTGACGTCAATTTCACAAATTATCAAAAGAGCAAAGCAGGATGCATCCCATTTACAGTCATCTTTATAACTAACAAGAAAGGGATCCATTAAACAGAAATGTCCATCTCCTCCAAGCCCTTCAGTGGATTGAAAGGGATAATTGAGTTTCCGATAGAATGGGAAAAATAACACCTTTGCACCAATGAATCAGAACAGGATGTCCTGTCAGGTACTGAGCAGAAATGAAATGAATAACAGGTTTGGATAAGAGAGAGTCAGTTCAGATAGAAAGGGGATGAGAAGAAGGAGGCAACAATACTTTTAATTTCCGTGGCAGCCTCCACAGAGCTGAAAATACAGTCAAGATATACTTCACTCTGAGTGCACAGGAAGTCGTATAAAGTGTGGGTTTCAACACCAGAAGAATAAAAGGAAGACATGACTGATTAAAAGGTATAGTTGAGGGGAAAGTGTTTTTTTTTTTTAATTTTTATTTTTTTATTGTAGATATGAGGGAAGAGTATATCCAGAAGCATTTGGAAGAGTCTAGAACAGGAGGAGAAAGTAGTAGACTGAACATGGCCAGCAAGATGGACCAGGCCATGGGGGTGGAGGTGGGACCACGAGAGAGGGGCCAAGAGAGAGAGGGAGAGGGAGAGAGAGGGAGAGAGAGAGAGAGAGAGAGAGAGAGAGAGAGAGAGAGAGAGAGAGAGAGAGAGAGAGATCCCAGAGAAAGCATGGCTGAAATGGCAGGGTTGTGAAGGAACAGGAAACCGGAGGAAGGGAAGCCCATGAGCTGGAGGAGTTCAGGGTAGGGGTAGGGTGGGAAGAGCTGAGCGGAGCTATAGCTGCCTAGTGGGCCTGGAGGCCAGCAGACATTTG